GAGTGCACTATTTTTGTGGGGCGGGGGCGGGGGGATCAGCTTTATAGGTAGTTATAACATTTCCCAGCATTAAAACCAGGAAATTCAAGACTGGTGTTATATTTAGTGGTACCTTAATAATGAGAATCATTTTACTAAAGATCCGGAATAGCTTCCCCTCCCTAGCCTCTTTCTCTTGAGGAGTTTCCCAGATCTAATAAAACAGATGTGTACTCCATATTTCTGCCTGTAATTGACTGTCATTCACTGTGGATCTTGGTGCAATTCCTTCTACTTAGCCAGATGTGAACTAAAAGGATATCTATCTGAAAAAGTGGAAGCACAGTTGGAAGTAAGTGTTATTGCCCCAGGTACTGCTTTTGTAGACACAGGAGTTTGGAGACAGCCTAGCAAGGTCCATGGGAAGTCCATGGGTTGCTTGACATAATAAAAATTGTTATCTGGCTTCCCGTGAGCAATTTGGGGTATGCTGCTGCGTGGCCTGTGAGCCCAAGGGCAGCACTGGGCTGGCTGCCCTTGGCACGAAGGCAGCCCCTTGCCTTCGGAGTAGCGAGAAGGAAGAGCCACGTTTCCCCCTATAACCTGAGGCAGCTGAGCACCAGGATATATTGCTAGCTCCAGGATAATGCCGGGAGGGTGGACAGACAGGTAACATCTCAAACTCAGGTAGCATTGCCCCAGCAAGGTCTGGCTGAGGTCCCCAGAGAGGCTGCAGCCTTGCACGGGGCTCTCTCTGTCCAACAGGCGTTGGGTGCAGAAGTCACCCTCCTACAGAAGGAGGTTGGCTCTGAAACACACAGAGAGCTTGCTTAAAAAAAAATACATATATATGTATGTATATATATGTGTATGTATATATATATATATATATGAGGCCCAGTTACTGCTGTGGTGGACTCGCAGGTATGTTTAGATTGGACAGATCTGCAACCAGTGAGCTAATAGGTTTTATACTTTAACATTTCATCAACACAAGCTGTTTCCCTAGCTCCTGCCTGAGAACTCATTTCAGCTGTGGCCTGCCCCCGTAAGTTGTAGTGTGTCTTTCTGGGGACACAAACGCTGAGCAAAACACGTTTAACCACTCTGTATGAAACACGCACCTGGATGAAGCTGTTAGGAGCTTGGTTATGTTGCGTTAATTTTTATTTGCATTCGTAATATTCCAAAGGGAGGGAACAAAAGCAAAACCCACAAAGCCGAACAAAAGGACTAAATCCTGCCAGGGTTTGGAGCCGTCAGCCCGTCACTCTTCCCCGAGCTGGTCCTGCTGTCACGTGTGAAGCTGAGCAGTGACCTAAGGAGCTCGGGTTTGATTTATCCATTGCAGCGCAGGGCTTCTCACCGCCCTAGGTGGCCGGTGGTAGCATCCGGGCTGTGTTGCCGCGGCGGGATAACATTCCAGGCGTTCTCGCCCCTCGCACGTACGCCGGTCTTTACCCACTGTTCCTGCCAGAAAAAACAAGCGCTCCAGGACGAGTATCAGGCAGTGGTTATCCGTGCAGCTGATTAATCGCGCATGGCTTATTCTAATTGTCTTTCGGTATTAAATAATAGCAAATACAGCAAGCGCCATGAAAGAGGAAGCAGGGCCGGCATCTTATAGATGAATAATGCAGTATCTTTAAGCATCGTTTTTCAGCACTCAGAAAAATGTTTTCTAAGTGTTACTTGAATTGCTTTAAAGTAATCCTAAGTGGTATATTTGTTCTTCCTGTGCTACCATGAGTCTGATTACAAAGTAGGTTTAAATTAAGAGATTGGGTACTCGCGTTTCCTCCTGACTTCTCGAAATCTGAATCCTCCGAAGCATCTGAATCAGCTCAGGTTATACCTGTTTCTGCTTTCCGCTCCACCTCTGCTGCAGCCTGATGGAAATGTCATGGCTGAGTAGTAAGATTATGACCTCAGAGGCCAAATTCCTGTTCCTCCACAGATCTGCTTCACACAGGCCACAGTTGCATCACGGCATGGTGACACTGCTCCCCCTGAGGTTATGACATCAAAGGTAAATGGGTCCGCAACATACCCCCTGCCTCCCTATGTGTCCTTCTTCCATCTCTTTTTCGGTATTGCCACTCAGTATTATTCATAGAATTATTCAGCTGACACGGTCCAGCAGGAGGAGAGCAAAAAGATTCAGCATCTGCTTTTGGTTACACCCCAAGCAAATCAGCCCACTTTGCTGGACCTTGGCTCCTCCATTCGCAAACAGATATGATCTTTTCACCATATTTTTGCCATTTAGGAAGGAATTTGAATGAGTTATTGGTCTAGATCAGCAATGCCAGAAAAGGTTGTTATGCACGCATAGATTTAATCTGCTTTCAGATAATATGGAGGTAAAGTGAAAACAGGCCCAGCCACATCCTTACTGGCCTCTGTTATGTCACTTTGGGTTTTGTAATTATATTTTTGCAGTAATGCACTTTGAAATGGTGCTTACAATGGAGACCCCATATGAAACTTTGAACAGGGAGATTCAAAATTATTTGCCTCCGTGTCTAAATTTTGTAAAGCTATATGAAGTGATACTGAGCTGGATGGAATTTAAAGCCTAAGACTATCCAACAATTCGGTTGATGGCTGGAAAGCTCAGATCTCACTGAATGTTCTCCCAGGCTTCGCACGTGACTGGTAGCAGGCTATTTCACACTAACATTTCAAAACTGATTTCCTCACTTTAGCTACTCAAATAAAGCTGATCTGGTTTTCAGAGCTGCTGAGTCTGGTTGCTCCATTTTAAACTGTGCGAATATTGTGGGTATCTCTGAAAACCAGCCTGCTTTTCGAGGGGTTACTAAACTGAGACTGCAATTGACTACGATTAGAAAGCCAGCTTCTCTGTTTCTTTGGGTGAAATTTGCTATAAGATAGAGAGAGAGAGAGAGGGCCTATAGCCTATAAATGTCTATAAGTGAACATCAACTCTGTATTCAGGAAAATGCTGTTTTTGTGTTGTACTATTGTAACTGTCAAAAGCAGCTATGGATATTAACCTGATTCACCAAAGGCATCAGTAAGCACATTCATTACATTTGGTATAATGCTTATCTTCCTTTCGAGGTTCTCCAAGATCAAAGAATTTTTATCAATTGAAAAACAGCCCTGACCTCAGTCTTCGCATCAGTGATATTTTTCTGTGTATGTTCCAAGGATTGTCTTTCAGTCTTTGAAGTTAACCTGAACATTTTCTGTCATGTTTTGAGTGGTATCATTCATGATTTTCAAAGCAAACCTCATGGGATATTACAGGGAAGGAAAGGACAGAGGAAAAGGAAGTTTGAGGAGATAAGAGGCTGTAAAAAGAAAAACACTGGTAACTGGAAAAGAGAAATATAAATGAGTAAAAGTATAAAATAATAATACCACATTCCATAAGAGAAAGAAAATATGAAGGAGGGAAAGTACGGGAATGAAAACTATCCAGAAAAGCAATGAGAAATATCTAGCAATGATTTTCCTGATTTTTTTTGATGAGAAATGTCATTTGGCCTTAAAAAAAGCTGTGAATAAACATTGGAGGAAATTAAAAAGCAGGATTTACTAAAGAAAGACAAAGGAAAATGGAGGGAAGGGAAAAGAAAATGTATAATGCAACTCTCATCTTTGTGCAGTGATATAAAGGAAAGAGACAACGAGGTCACAAAAAGAGACATATCATCTTCATCTAAAAATGGCACAATTACTATACAATTTAGCTGTAATGCCTTTTGAGCCCCCCAGGTTTTCGTAAATAAAATCCTAATTATTCAATGCCTAGAAAAACTTCCTATTATAAAATAGTTGCAGCAGAATCTGCGATTACTGTGTAACAATAACCAAAAGACTTTTCACATGTTTTATAAAATGCAGAAACCTAAGCCTTGAACTTAATATTTTTCTTGAGACGTGTCTCAGTGTAAGATCATCATTATCCATCTTCTTCTACTGCAAACACATTTAATAGTTGTGTAGATGTCACTGTTTTCTTGTCAGACTGTACTTCCCAGCACCAAAGACAGATTTCATAACCCAGTGGAGAAGGTTTCAAGCTGATAAGGAAATGGAAAGGTAGACCTAACTTCATAGGCTGGTAGTATCTATGCACCTCTGCAGAGGAATTACTGCTCCCATTGCTGGTTCTGGTCCCATTTGGCAAGGCCAGAAGGGGCAAGGAAAGCTGCAGAGCTTGAGCAGTTTTGTTTGCTGGGTAGTGAAGGCGGGATTTACGTCACTATATTTTAGCAAGCTGAGGGCGAGGTGTGTCGCCCAAGCTATCCCTCTAAACTCCCTCCGCAGATGATAAGAGGTCGGGAATCCCCGGGGAGCGCTGCATCTCCCTCTGTCTTCAAAAAACAGGAGCCGTCTTCTGGAGGGTGCCTATCACTCTCTACTGTCTGTAAAGGAAGCCCAACTACTCTCCCATCTGTTTTTTCCTGGGCACTGGCATTTAGTGAGAGAGAGAATTATGGGAAAAATAGGAATTATTCTCAGCACTGTGGTAAGACTGCATTGGCCCTTTCCTGGCAATTGTTTCCCTTAAATTCCCAGTAACTTCTGGCTAATAATGTTGATCAGAAAACGTGTTCAGCTCGCTAACACCTGCAGAGCTAAGAGCAACCTCAGTTAGAAGAGGAGCCCGGTCCCCATTGAAATGGATTTCTACATCGATTAGTCTCTCTACAGCAGATGGCATTCAAGTTTCTAAATATTTGCCTTGCATCAACATTTAAACATAGGGGTGGAGAGCAGATATTCCTGCTATATTTGGTATTAAAAGGCCTGTTATTTTAAATAAAAGCTCTCTGCTTGTGTCTGTCCAGCAGAGAGCAGCCTACGGTTCAGGCGAGGAGGCAATTATGTGTCGCTTCAGCACATACTGTTCTCCGTGCTGTCTCCGTCCGCTAGTACTTGGCTTGTGAATCACCGTAACGCGGTCCTCCGCTGGTTCACTACATTTTTCCAAAAGCTTTCAGCACCAACATTCTTTTTTATTGATCTTTCTTCTTTCCCCAAAGTAAATCCCGTAGAGCTAGTAAGGGAGAAGCTTGGGGTGCGCATCCACGAAGCGCTTCCGCCTCGCACGTGCCGTTCAAAACACCCAGGACCAATGGAAGAGGCGATCCGTAAGCACAGATGCGAGTGGGTTCGAGCCGGGCAGAGCTGGCGGGACGGCACAACACGCCCCCCGCCGCCCCCCGCCGCCATATACGCTTATATAGAGCGTTTCGCACAGGCGAGGCTGGGACAAAGTGCCGTTTGCGATTCTCACGCTGCCGGTCGCAGGGAGGGTCCGTGCCATTATGAGGAGGTCCTCTTCCAAAACATCTCTGCAGTGGTGGTGGTGGTGGTGGTGGTGGTGCGACCATTTATTATTTACCTGCAGGTCTAGAAACGATCAGTTCCAACCGGGGCCAAATAAGGTATACTTGAACATTGCTTTAAAAAAGACAGTTCTACCCCAAAGGGCTTTTAATCAAAAGAGGTCACACGCCATACCACAGCTAAATTAAGGGAGGAAAAAAAAAAGTCAGTAAGGCAAAGAACCAGTTAACAGTGAAATCATTCAGGCTAGGCATAAAAGGGAAAAACGATCCCGTCTGCTGGCCTCAGATTAAGAAATAGGGGCTCACTTTCCTGCTCCACTAGAGACCTCTTCTGTGAGTGAATCAGTTTGTGTCAGATTTTAGAAAAGAATTTACCTATTTCAACTTGCAAATTGAAATTTGGGTGGTATTTTTAACAGCACGTGTGCCCTTCACTTCTGTTTAAAGCAAGAACCTTTATACTTTGGAAAAAATCTCTCCGAGTGTTTGTCCTCATCTTTAGACATAATAAACAGGATACGTAGTCTTTCTGGGCCTCAGTTTCACTTATGAAAATAGTACTTCCCTACAATATAGGTGTATTGTGCAGAGAATCACGCAAAATAGCTCTGAAAGGTTAGATGGTCTCTTGTGAGGGTCTTATAAAATAAACAGAAAAAATAGCATGCCCAGTTATCGGTAACCGGTGATTTTTTTCCTGTTGTTGGCCTATTTTGACATGTTGGTTGCTTTGATCTGACTAGCTGATTGCTTTCTGCTAGAGACAATTCTTTTGTAAATATTTTTGGTATTTTATACTTCATAGAAACTCAGATTGTGCATGCTATGGGCACTGTTCATTTGATCCATTTGCTGACCGATTTTTATCTGACATGCACTCCTTAGAGTTTGAAAAGTCTTTTAAATCAGTCATGTGCTGCTTTAAAAATTTGCTTCGTAAAAGTTTGCCTTTTCCATTAGTGACACTCAGAAACGAAGAGAAAGGCAGCTAGCTATAATGAGCCCCCCACGTCTAAAGAATATGTTCATTATAAAGGGACAGAAGAACAATCTTACCTTACAAAGTTTCTATGCTATTTTCAAAGACTAAGCTTTCAAACTTGGGGCCATAAACATTAAATAATACACTTAAATAAGACAGCTTCAGTGCTGAATGCCTACAGCTCTCATTGAAAGTTACTTTTGCTCAGCACCTCTAAAATTCAGTCTACTTACAGTTTAGCTGAACAAACAGGGAGCAATATGCCTAACCCAGTTAAGTTATGCCATGCTATACAACAGGTTTCCAACTTAATAGCAAGACGTTTCAAAAAGCTCCAGGTACACCAATAGAGGCTGTTAGGATCCTGTTGTCGGAAGATTCACTAGGGCAATCTTTCCTCTTTCCTTTTTTTTTTCCCCTCCATCTTTCAGCCCATCCATATACCTTTGGAAGCACACAACCAACCAGTTTTAGGCACTACTGAACATGATGGAGTGACACTGATGCATACAACCCTGTTCATGTTAAGTGTGCCTCAATAGCTAGAAAAAATCCCCATAACTGGCTTACGGGATGACAGAAAAGGCAGCAGCCTCTGCCCTCCCCCATGCACACGCACATCTGGCTGCTCAGTGACACACATGGGCTGTGTCATCTAGTGCAGCTGGGGTAACACAGCTGGATTTGCCCTTTTACAGTTGGGCAGCAGCAAGAATTTCAAGAAACTCGTCAGTGGTCCCTGGGCTTTTGGAGGGTAGCAACAACATAGACGGCAAACAAAATACCCACCAGCCGCGATACCTCCTCGAAGAAGTTCACATGAGCCTTCTTACCTGCCTGTCCACCTTGCCTAATGTGAAGCAATGGGGTAACAGCATCTCAAATGCAGTTCGTTTTTGCATTGTACTGTTTGTAAAAATGCCTTTTCAAATTTAATAGAGGAAAATCTGTAGGGGTTCTTAACTCCTATCTTTTATTAAGTACTCAAAGCCTTAAAGAGAAGAATGATGTTAAGAGGGGATGGTTACAGTAATAATAATTAGTTTTATAGAACCCCTTGCATCTATACAATTTTAGGTTATTACAAAATTGGAATCATTTGACTTTACACATCCTTTATAAGGAAGGTATTGCTTTGAGAACACTTCAAAATCTGATGTAGGAATTGTTATGTTAGAGGTCAGGATATTTTTACTGTTTATTTAATCAGGAGTAAACTTTAGATTTGTACAGCAGATCACAGATCTGAATTAATGAAGACCTTAATGACTGCAATTGAGTCACTTAAAGGGCAAATGAGTGTTTCTGGCTCATTAGAGATTAGTTTAATGAATATTAACTTTTAGTTCCTCCTTACAATGCTAGTTTCCGATCAAAACGGGTTTCATTTTGAAACTCAGCACAGTGCGTTGTTACACCTCACAAAAATAAGGTACGAGAAAGTAGGTTCACATCAGAATCAAGAAAGACCTCTGTGTACTTTGCTTATTTTGACAATAGTAGCTTAATGACTTAATTTTCTGGAAATTGCTGGAGCAGGATGTACTCATAAGCAAAGAACAGTAGTCTTCCGTTACTGAAAAGAAATCTCAATTGGAGTTTCAGTATTAAATAACAGTATTCAGGATATTTCAAATAAAATATGAAGTTTTTAACGTTTATGCCAAAAAGCAGCAGGAGCTGGCATCCTGAACAAGCATGTTTGTGCCAGGTGACCAGCCTGTGTATGTGGGACCTCTTTTGTGGCAGAGGTTGTCTACAGTGATGCACTAGTTACTGCCAGCTGTTGACCAGCTAGGTTGTTGTTACATATTAGGCAACGCCAAGACTTTGTCCACCCTATAAATTAAGTTGTGCTTAGTATTTTATGCACTTACATGTTCTGCTGTGATGTAAATCTTCCAGTTTAGACAATCCATTAGACATGGGCTTCATCTGCTTTATTTCAAGTGTTTTCCTGCACGCTGCAAGGTCAGAACTAAAGCCTTTTTGAGCCAGAAGTCCAGCACGCATTGGCTAGATCAGCTTGGTAATAATTAGTCCCAGTTTTATGATGTCATCTTACATAGCACGGAAACAGAAAGAATAATAAGCATCATATTTAGTGTTAAGAGCCAGGCAAAAAATAAGATGTCTCCTGTTTAGTACCTGGTCCGTTTTCAGCCCGCAATTTTAGAGGTTGTACTGAATTAACCATTCCTAGTGTGTACTGTGAGCGCGTACAATGCATCTTCGTGATTTACTGGCCTCTATGTCATTACAATTATTTTCAAATGTTTTCATATGCTGTGCCTCAGGGATTAGTTGCCTTGGGAATCACTTGTATTATTTAACATTATTTTCCCTAGTGGCACAGCATGATCTTGACAGATAGCCTTAAATGGTGTACAGGTGGGGGCAGCGTAGTTTTCAGGCATCAGTCTCATATCCTTATTTAACAAAATTGCCATGATATTAAACATATGCAACCTTTTCCAAGCATACAGCCAAGCTCGTGTCACAGGATCAAAGTTTACACCATTTTGTTTCTTCAACTGAGAAAATAAAGCTAACAGGGACTGAAAATTGATCTGCATGGTGCCTATGGGTGTATACAGTGGTACAGTACTTAACCTGGATATGATGCTTGGGCCTGAACACCATGTACAACTCTGGACAAATCATTCAGTTTTGTTGTCTCTCCATATTGCATAACTGGAGTCCATATAGTTCAGATAGGTGCATTAACGGCCAGTGAAAATACCTTGGGCCCAGAAATCAAATATATCTATTTGACATTTGAAACATGGCAAGCAGAGTAAATTAAACACAACTTCAGCTTTTTAGGGTATTCTTGCACATTTGTTTGTTTGGAGAGGGGGCAGCTGTGGCTTGGTAATGTCTTTAGATATATGGCACTCTAAATGGTCTCAGATTTTAATCAAATTTAGTGCTATCACAATTTCTATGACAAATTTCAGGGAGTGGAGGCATTGTTTCTTATAATTATCATTCAGCACGGTTATTATAATGGCTTTTTGGAGCACTATTTCTTCATATACTAATATTCCTGTTATTTGGTGTATGCAGTCTTTTGTTTAGTGCAGAGATAAAAGTATTTGTTACCCAGCAAACTAGACTAATTTGCAATAATATGTGGGAGATCCACTGTAAATTACTGAACAAAAAAGCAAATCAGAATACCAAATAACTAAAACCATCAGTTACAAATAACAAAATGTACTTGGATTATTTTAGCAACAGTAATTTTAATTCCTTTATAACTGACTTGTAAATTACCTTCCTTTTCAAGAAAAAAATTGTACATCTTCTATTGCTATCTGCGTTTAGTACTTGGCTGGGAAAAAAACACTGGAGAATTAGGGTAAAACTTATTACTTGCTCTACTGAGTGTAGGTCTACCGCCCTTTCCTCATGATGACGTGAAGGTAGTTGTGGTTTATCAACAGAACAGGTCTCCTAGCTATAAAAATTCATTAGGTTTTCTCAGACTTCTGAGTTAGGAACATTAAGGCATTTTGGCAGCTCTCTCATTACTCAAACTGAATTTTAAGACATTCACAAACTCTTCTTCATACTACTTTAAAATAGCAAATTAATTCCAGATTTTAGCTGTAACAGACCTTACAAATCTTGAGATCAAGTATAATCATTTAAAGTACTGAATTCCAGTCATAATACTTTTCAACATTTAGTTTAGCAATTTTTTGATCTCTGCTACGATATTGTCCGCACGCTATTCAGACCGTCATTGAACTATTGCTTTTTCAGGTTTCTGAACAGTCAAGAAATTAATCAATGCCAGAGAGAAGCTGTGAGCAGCTCCCCTAAAAAAGGCCAGCCTTCCTTTAGAGAAAAACACATAAACCCGTGATCCAAAAAGGCCTAACTATAAGCCCAATCTCACGCTGTTTTTTGCGATAGCCCCTCAAGTAGCCATGTTATTCTAGCTGACCTGGTCCCATTTATACATAAAGAACAAAATATCAGCGTGAACCTGCCTGCAGCTCTCAGAGGAAGACACAGCAGGCTGATAAAACCAGAACCAAATTTACAGCTGTCTTCTGCAGTCAGAATTAGAAA